AGTTCGGTCGTCCGATCGTAACAATCGTAACGATCACACATCATCGTGTACGTATCGATCGCCCTGTCGTTCGACACGTCCAACGATCGATACATATCTAATGCTGTGCGGTCATCACGATCCCTACGATCAGACCATCGACTATGAATGCGCCCTTGGACTGGACTATCACGAAACGTAGGTTTTGTGCGCATTTAGATTTAAATAATAACAAGTACAGTGCACATGTGTTCATTCACAAACCTAGGGGTGTGGTTCACTAGGACAGAAAGCGACTTTTTCGCGTTTCGCAGCGAAACATTTTTCGCTGCGGGAACCTCAGGTCCACCGCTGATCATCGGTGGACCCGAGGTTCCCGCAGCGAAAAATGTTTCGCGCTGCGAAACGCGAAAAAATCGCTTTCTGTCCTAGTGAACCACACCCCAAACCTAGTGCGCTGAGGTTAAACTCCGTTCTTCGGAGAGAAGGAAAAAAGTAGCTCTTCTAGACTGAATAAACAAATTAAGAGCTTCGGTGTCAATTTTGGTGACGTTAACTTGAAACAGGAGAAGAGAGCTATTGATGTAGAGCACAAAAGGCAAGCCAGAAGATGAAAAAGATTATCTAACTTCAGTGGTACGTAAGGGTTCGGTCATACTTTTCGACTACCTTGAACTGTTCACTTCTCCGGTATGGAGAGGCCCATTCAAAGGTCACAATAAATGAAATACGGCGATTACGCTGAATGACCAAGTGCACATTGATCTCACTAAGCAAAACGGTCGCGTGACTTCACCTGGGAAGCTCTGGAGAGTATGAACCACGATGTTACCGGAGCTCCTTCCTCGTCCAAAAATTCCTTGTCCCCCGACTCGAAATCGCTTCTTGCACCATAAACTACCAAATTTCGCACCTCATAAAAATTGACTGGCATAGGGATAAACCTCAAACCACTCTAGCTTTGGAGGACTTCTTGTGCCACCCTCACGGACTGATGGGACAAAATACCCTCGCAAATTAACACGCCTTAAGCTGATCTATGTAGTCCAAGGAAATGTATAGCCCCAATATTGTTCCGGGTTGTCAAAAAACAGAAAAAGCCAGGGAAAGCTCACACAAGGAAATATGTGCAGGCGCCGCGTAGTCAACCATTTTGGCGTAAATTTGGCGGAACGATACGCAAGCACTTTGCGTCTCTACTGTCCTACAGTAATGTGAAATAAAGTAAGCAGCTGCTTTTCAGAGCCTTTCGTGGCGCCGGCATCAGTTGCTTGTCATCATTATCATTAAAAGAGCTGCTGCGGAAGTGATCCACTCCAATCCTTGGTCAGGCTTCGCCTCCAATGACTGCTGCAGTCATGGAAATTGGTGATGACCTTGTTCACGACGCCAAATCCGGTCAAGCATCAGCAGCCTCTACATCGATGGTAGTCCCGATGTATCATAAGGTATCTTTTCCCATTATTATATTTTAAAGGTGCCATATCCGTTTTCGCAGAGGTCGTAGAACAAGGCGGTACCCTCTTCGACGCAAGCTTTTACGTTCCGAAATTCGCCGACGAGTTTCCCACCATGAAAGTTAGGAGAAAATAAGAAGATGTTGGCGAAAGTGTGGTGCCATACAATCAAGCCTCCGCCCTCATGCCTGAAAAAATTAGGTTCCTAGATCCCGCCAAGTTTGTCTTAGATTTCCTACTTTTTGCCATTTTTGCTCGCAAAATTGCGTCCGTCCGAAGCGCCAAGAATGCAAAAAACTCGTTGTGGTCAATGAGTTCAAGGTTGCTCCTAAACTTGACAATTCAATAGCTTCACAAGAGATTTTCTTTCCTTTGTGCCCAGTATCTCTTGAGCGATGACCTGCTAAAATAACTGTCTGGGCTTGAAGGTGAGAGTAAGATGCATCCATTGCTCGAGATGAGATGGGGAATATCCCTCTTCCCACTTACCACTAGTGAGCAACATGTTTCTAGAAGAAGCCTGCGAGTTTCTTTTTCATATCAATTATGAAGAACGAAATGGTGTTCCTGCTTTGATACTATCGAGTGTTTAACCCCCACGCAGAGCACAGTCCCAAGTGGGCTATGATCACAATCGAAAGACGAGATAACTAGGCCTTGACTCAGGATTGCGAAGTTCTGGCTAGATTTCCTCAGCAGAAAATACGCTCTCAATTTCTGAAAGAACAGAACCTCTCCAGTTCCGCCAGTGGCGACACAGGTTTGATTCTGTTCTCATATAGGACTAAAATTAATGATACAGCAGAAAGGGGGGACGGGCCGAGTTAGCGGTGAGGGATCTTACTGTTACCTCACAATCCTTTGAACAATCTTCGACTTTCATCTTCCAGCGAGTCACACAGCTGCGGAAATACGACTCCGGGCTAGGTCACGACCTAGATTTTTTTATTCGACATTGAGACACTGTAGGGCTCGGATGTTGAGACATGGCTATCGCATCGCGTACCAAAATCCATTGAAATTTTGTGCTCAAGTCTGGCCATCCATTCACCACTGATCAAGCAAATGACTGTCCTTATTTCCAATCTGAATGGAATCCCCCAATCGAAACACCTCAGAAACTCTTCAACTCGGAAAAACGTGATACTAATCTCCTGGCACTAGTGTATGCTTATATTCAAATGTATACCGTTCTTCAATATATTTTATTCAACTCTCAGAAGTTAAAGAATTTCATGTGCAATATTTCAGAGCTCTGTTCACAGCCGGCTCCTGCTCACTCAACTCGCGGAACTTCGTGACGACTCTCGGCTGTGTGATGTGGCTCTGGTTGTCAAGGTAGTCAGCCCAACATACTAGACAATTCAGTATAGAAGTGAGAGATGTTTCAGGGAACACGAATCAATGCTCATCGACTAGTACTCACTGCATGTTCAAATTATTTCAAAGCCATGTTTACTAACGAAATGGCCGAGAGTCGCTTGCGTATTGTGGGTGTGCTTTTCTTCAATAAATTTTTTTCAGTAACACTAGCAGAGTGGGGCTTAGTAATACTTCTATTATCAGTTGCTTGCCCAGAATTATATATTGAGGAAATGGTCGATATGGAAGCCTCGACGCTTGATGCGTTAGTTAACTTCTGCTACTCTGGTGAGATAAAAGATCAGTGACGTCAATGTACAGAGCATTCTGCCTGCTGCTTGTCTGCTTCAGTTGAATGAAGTTCAGGTTGGGCTGATAAGTGTTTAAGTTTTGCATTGTTCAAATGTCTAATATTGTGAAGGTTACTATGATGATTTTTTCTTTTGTTCTCAGGAAGTGTGCTGTGAGTTTCTAAAGAAGCAATTGGATCCGTCCAATTGCTTGGGCATCCGAGCGTTTGCTGACACTCACGCATGTCGGGAGCTTCTTCGTAGCGCTGACAAGTATACCTTGCATAATTTCCAGGTTATTGTTTGTCAGTATACGTCCTACTTAAAACGATACTTCTCCCTTTTATCTATTTTTAATTTTATCTTTAAATTTGTTATATATTCTTTTCTACAGGATGTTGTTGGCACTGAAGAGTTTCTTATGCTTCCTGTAAACCAGTTGGTTGAACTTATTTCAAGTGAAGAGCTCCATGTGCGATCAGAAGAGCAGGTTATCCACAGTTTCTGTTGCCGTTATCAGATTTCTGCTTCCGGTCATGAATACTGTGCTTTCAGGTTTTTGCAGCAGTTATTCAATGGGTTAGGTTCGACCTGCCTGCTCGAAAACAATTTCTCTCGAAGGTTAGTGTAAACAACTCATTAACATATGGTGACTTTTCATGCATTTTTTTGCAGTTATTGGAGCATGTACGGCTACCACTTTGTCATCCCAAATTCCTTGTCAGCACTGTTAGTGAGGATGCGTTAGTGAAAGCTGACGCCGCTTGCCGAGACCTTGTTGATGAAGCGAAGGTTAGTGGGTCTTTGATTACTCCAAGTCTTTCCTTGGAACAGTTTCCGGTTCTAGAACTACCTGCTTCTACCACTTGAACGGCCGAATATGCAGGGACCACGCACTCGACCGCGAAAACCAATCAAATTTGGAGAAGTTTTGTACGCTGGTATGTTGTACTCGTTTTTGATAGTTTCTAATAAAAGGAGTCTGAGTTGAACGTATTAGCTTGTCGGGAAAAATCGCCGCCATAAAATTGGAACAAGTTGCATTTGAAGATAGGGAATACGAAGAGGGCGAGGCTCATTTGGGGGCTCCGATATTGAATGCTATCGATGGGAGAAACATTGAATCGAGGTTTCCGTAGCTGACTCGGGCCGCAGTCATACTTCGCCACCATCTTGCAGTTTCTGTTTGGATACTGGCCATAGGGTTCTGCAATCGTGCAGTCACATGATCGATACCTATCTGTTCACATAGGAAGTGCACGGCAGTCACGAAGTACTACTACGGTCTTAAGATGCTTTACTTAAAGTTTGAAGGGGATATTTGTGAAGTGTGCAAATGGGTCACTTCTAATTTGTGTAACTTTCAGTGGGTGGATGGTGCAGTGGGGATGGCGATCGCTTCTGTGGAACGCCTCGATCCTGGGAA